TATATATATATATATATATATATATATATATTCTTTAGAAGAAACAAGATAAATACATATGAATGAGAAGTTTGTATTTTTTCAGTCTTATCATTATTTAGATGAGAAAAATGTCTTAAAAGTATATATTTAATGTTCCTTAAATTGTGCGAAGATGCAAATGATAGAAAAATTCAAATAAATGAATAGTACTACTATATTCCATTTACCAAACAGATTAATAAATGTATTGTCATTCATCAATTTTAAATTATAAATGTATATTATTTATTTCGTTTAATATATTTTTATCCCTTCAAATTTCATGACTTTCGTTTAAATTTTCTATTTTTAGAACCTTAAAACTCAGTTCCTGTAATTTTTTTCTCCATTTTTTCATCTCTTAATTTCCTATTTATTTTTTTTAAGTGCCTATATTATTTTTTAAAAAATAAATAGGACCAACTAATAAACCTATAATAATTAGAGATATCAAGTTTTTAATTATGATAATTAAGAATTAACGACAAAAAGGCACTCAAACAGTCAAAATAAAAGACTAACCAAAAAAAGTAATTATATAAATATAATTTTTTTTATATCAGTACATCTTAATGAATATAATTTAATAAAAATTATGTTATAGATGTAAAATTTTACAAAAATCAAATTTCAACATTTTGAAGAAAAAAACCAAATGATCAAAATTATACGATTTCGATAAACATGTTAAATCCACACAAAAAATTATAAAAATTATGAATCAATTTTGGCTGACATTAGAAACTCACTAAATATATCAATTTAATAACAATCTTATGTGTAGAAACCACCTTTGTTTTTAATAAAAGAAAAAAATAGAATTAGAAATAACAATAAGACAATACAAGTAAGAGTGCTACAATTTTTTTTAATTATATAGACCAGCGCAGAAAAAAGGCATTTTATGCCACACTATATTAAAAGAAAATATATTTTCATGAAAAAGAGTAATTTTAAAAAATGTACAATTATTTATGAGTAGTTTTAGAATAAATCAAATAAAAATTAATAAAAATATATAAGATGATGATGATGTAAGAGAAAGTAGTTCTAAGGAGTTTTAAAAAAATAAACAAAGGTTAAAGTATACTCTTTAAGCTTTTATATATATATATATATATATATATATATATAAATTTGCAAGTATTCAATGATATTTGTATATATTTATTAAAATATAAATATTTAAATAAATTATAATAATAAAACAAAAATAAAGGTGTAATCCCAAGCGTGTGGTTCAGCGGTAGGGGTTGATCCACGCTTAAGCAAAGTCAGGGGTTCGAATCCTGTCTTGTATATGCAGCCGCGTTAGTGCCTCCAACGTACAAAAATAAAGGTGTATACATTTAAAATATATTTTATATTAAAAATAAATTAAAATATTTTTCTTTATAGATGATTTAGAGAATATAAATGATTTTAATATGTCGGCAATCCCTGTATAAATATCTTACTTTTTGCCTCATCACTTGTCTGTTAATAAATGAATATTATCTATTCATAATAGGTTTTACCAATCTGCGAATATAGCTAGAACCTTAACTTATCTTTTTTATAGTAATTATTTCTAAAAAGTTGCATATTCAATATTAGCTCTGGTTTACAAAAATCTCCCTCTCTCACACACAACCCAACATATCTTAATTAACCAAATTAAGGGAACCTACTTACAGACGTTCATACATAATTAACTCCTCCTAGTCTAAGCATTTTATGTAAAGTGTGGCAAATTAAAGCTCAGTCAATATTAACAAAAGTAGAGATTTTTAGATATCTCAATTATATATATATTATCATTTTTCTCTTCCAAATGGTGTTAAATATGATTTAAGGTATCTTATACTTTATTAATAAATAATAATAATAAAGAGAATCAAATTTAAATATTTTTTTATCTATACCAACTCTTAACTATTAAATCCATCCATTTTCACTTGTTTTCTCTTGCTCATTATATACATATTAAAAGGAGTAATAATAACAATAATATTTCTTTATTTTGGCACCAACTCTTACAAAAACTTATTTTATGATTACATCATCCTTGGCCCAAATTCAAAGCTTCATCCCAAAACATACCTTGCACTCACATGATATCACTAGGGGAGTGTCAAGTGTGTTTGTTTTTGGAGAGAGAAACATACGTTTTTGTTGAATATGAGTTCACAATCACAAGAGGAAAATGAGGACAAAAGAAGAAAACTGAACCAGTTTTTAGGATACTAGTAAACAATACTTTGTATATCTCATGTTTTTCTTGATGCAAACAACTAAATTTGGAGGTTAATCATTTTTCTCCCTTGCGTGCCTTTTAAGCCTTCCTCTTTCCTATTAATTCCCCTCATTAAATTACTATAGCCACACCAAAACAAACTCATACCTTCAAATACCACCATTTATGTTCTTCTCTCCTCCTATTCACTCTCATAAAATCTTAACCCTATAACCTAATTATTCCATACCCTTCATCAATGGATAGCGAAAGTAGTGATAATAACAGTGGTAGTAGTAATGGTGGTGGTAGACACTCTAGTAGTCCTTGTGGTGCTTGCAAGTTTTTGAGAAGGAGATGTGCACCAAGTTGTATCTTTGCTCCATATTTTGATACGGAGCAAGGTACAGCCCGCTTTGCGGCCGTGCATAAAGTTTTTGGGGCTAGTAATGTGTCGAAGCTCCTTTTCAACATTCCTGCTAATATAAGGATTG